GACAGGAGACTGGACATTGCTATAAACTGTTCTACAAATGCAGACAGCCGTGGACGTCACTTCAGATGATAAAAGTCAACATTAGCAAGATTGCCTACACTGCAAAGTAACCCAAAAAAGGAAATAGGACTTATATAAAAAAAAAAGAGGCAGACAATACAGGCGTAGTATTTTAGAGATGTAGAGAAAAATGTTGCTAATAACGTTAGCCCCCTGTTAATTGCAGACAAAGGCTAACGGCTGTAGCTAGCTAATGGCTGCTCACCTACTGATAGCAGAAGGCTAATGCAGTAGAGAATAATGCTGCATGATTGTGGCTGTATTTATAAATTGTGATTATTTTGGTTACTATGAAATATTATATAATGGCAAAAATGAACTGTCTCCCTCACCTTTAATCGCAGAAGATTAAGCTGCTCTCTAAGTGGCGTTTTTCTTTTTAAGCCCTTAATAAGACAATTAAAGGATGGAATCAGGGTGTTCTGGTTTTTACAGGGGTAAAACATCTTTCCAGTCTGGAGTGTTTTACCTTAGAAGGAGCCATAGTAGATTCAACTTCAGCTAGACATTCACTTGAGTTTAACCAAATGGAAATCAAGAGTTATTTGGTCCACAGTGTCAAATTGGCAATATGAGTGAACACATGAAGTTGTACTGTATCTTCCGGAGTAACAAAATGACCCCAGGGACGATGTATTTACTCAACAGCCTTAAACAGTTTCAGATGTTTGAGATGCTTTTTTTACTTTCTCTACTAGTTGGCACAACACAACGTCTTTGTTATGACTCCAATCAGAAACAAGTGTCTACTATCCACTGCCGGAGCTGGAGTGTTGACAGTGTGTGAATGTGTGTGTTTCTTGTTAAGACTAAGGGAAACGGCAATAGGATTTTCATTGTGGTAAAAGATCAGAGCTATGAAGTTGCTAATGTGAACATATTTTGGTAGCAGAGCAGGAACAGTGATTCATTAGCCACAAATGTTTACAATTAAATATTCAAGAATTTAGCAGCTTAAAACTGGCCATAAACTGGAGCAACTAGAGATGACCAGCTTTGTATGTTTTCATCTTGGATGACCATTCTGGTGGGTTTGCATGACACTACTCATTGATTTAAAAAAAAATACTATGAAATATGACTTTGATTTCCTTCCCTGTTGGCAGTAACTATTTTGTTTCAAACTTGCAAGAACATCTTGTAAGAAAACATGACCTCTGCCTCCAAAAAAGAAAAAGTGGTCGGTTGATATTCCTCTGCCACAATACTCAAGTTAGGTTGGTTTTATTATAGGTGCTGTCTTGGCAAAATCAATATGCCTTCTGTTGGGTCCATGTGCTTTTTTTACTGATTAGCCGCATTTACGATAATGTCTCTTCCACTATTTTATTATATATATTTAGTTTTTATTGTAGTATATTTGACATTTTAGGATGGGTCGTATGGCTTTCATTTCCAACCACTACTTATCTGACCGAATCTTGAATCGTACTGTAAGCCTTACTCTAACAAACTGTCCAATGTTTTTGGCACTTTACCACAAGCAAAAATAAACTTTTGGGTGATTTTACCACAGCACAGTGAACACATGCAGATACCATCCGCCTACATTCTGGATCTAACACCCAAGAGCTCAAAGACAAAATAACTTACGATTCCTTGAGTAATTTCAATTTCCAGTATCCTGCCAGCTGTAATCTGATTGTCTGAGTCTGTTTTTTGTCTGAGACAGATTTTAAGAGAGGACATCAGATTGGAGTTAACACTGTTTGCCTTTCTGTTTCCTATACACGCAAAGATAGAAAGCCCTAAAGAAATCCCACAGACACCTCAGAAACACACACACACACACACACACACACACACACACACACACACACACACACACACACACACACACACACACACACACACACACACACACACACACACATTATATACATTACAACAACAAAGAGCAAAGACAAAGACTGGAATACACATGGACTTGCTTACATACATAGCACTGAGTAAGTGTATGCATGCAAATACAAATTTTTCGACCATAGCGGAAGGTCTCCCTCACATGCCATGTAGTTTGTATAATAAATACAAAAATGGTCGGCTGTGTGTGTGTGTGTGTGTGTGTGCGCGTGCGTGCGTGCGTGTGTGTATGTGTGTGTATGTGATTCCCTCTGTTTCTCTGCGATGGTGGAGCACTTGTGTTAAAGTTAAACAGTGCAGACACAAGCAGGTCACCTCCTCCATCATCCCCATTGGAAGGAGAGCACAAACACAGACGTCAACTTAATCACCACCATTCACGTCAACAGAAATCCTTCTGTTGAGAAAATAACTAAAAAGGCTATTGTACATTTACTCAATCAAAGATCTGTAAAGTTCAATCTTTCCTCCCAGAAGTCCATTAATTGTACCACAACTCAGATGGCTCAAAGAAAACTCTACGGCTCCATAGACGAACGACTTAAGATGACTCATATCTTTTACAGGAACATGTAGTTTACTTTTCAAGTCAACAAGCATGTCATAAGAGTACTGTAGGTGTCAGTTTATTACTGACGGCTCTATCAAGGCAATGAATACAACGGCAATAAAGTCATAGGACATAGGCCTATTTGTAGTTCCTGACATCCTTATAGAGTGCCACAGTGACACGTCCTAAAACCCGGAAGTAAGTTAGCATTTTACCACTTCCGGTTCCTTCGACAAAAAAGCAATGCAATTTCTCCAAAGGATTTTGGAGAATAGCTCGAAATAAGGTCTGTGGTTGAGACACATTTAAGAGACGGATCACGTTTTGTTCTACGACATTAAATACATCAGCAGTGATCCCACTGGTGATTTTTGAAGAGTTTACATGTCTGAAAAACTATGGTTGTTAACAAGTGGCTGAATAGGACTACAGAAGTTGTCGAGGCCGTTTTACGTCATTATACCGAACACGTAAACACGTGTAAGTTTGTTTTTCCCCGTGTTCTGCTTGAAAGCAAGTAACTGCCTCCTGCAAACGCTTCAACATGTACAATTTTGAATCTGTAGTTTTGAATATGGATCTTAAGTTGGCGTGACGTTGAAGCAGCAACCCTGCTGTAGTTTGCTTATAGCATAACGTTAGCATTTTGCTTCTGGCGACTAGATTTATGATTAGAAAATTATAAAAGTAGGGTAGACATGTTAATATTATCCGGCTGAACAAAACGTGATCCGTCTCTTAAATGTGTCTCAACCACAGACCTTATTTCGAGCTATTTTCCAAAATCCTATGGAGAAATTGCATTGCGTTTTTGTCGAAGGAACCGGGAGGAATTTACTTCCGGGTTTTAGGACGCGTCACTGTGGCACTCTATAGTGTAACAATATCACAGAAGATATGATAGTTAAACAAAAATTCCCGTATATCTGCGTCTATGTGAACTTTTTAGCCGATAACATCATTACTATTATACACACAAGATTATTATGACCCACGTCTGTTTCCTGGATATGAGGTTAAGGCCCTGTGTAACACTTGCTTGTATAAAAAACTACTTGACCATGTTAACTGTGTTAGTCTAGCATTTAAGCATGCTAACATCAACTAATCATCACTGAACACAGAGCATCTGTAAGTCCAAAACCAAAGTGAACACCTGGTGACGAGAAAGAAGAAAAGTCGGGGATCTCAGAAGTTATACTTATAATTCAAATATGATTGCATTTCATTGAGTGAGCAAGTTGTTGAGACGTTTCACTTTGAGCCAAACTGGTTTTCATCCAAATGTATTGCCCATTTTAAAATGTTTACAAGCTGACAAAATTGGTCAAGAAAGTCAGATGAACCTCTGAGGGTCTAAAATAAAGTGGAAAATTCAATTATTTGCTAAATCTGTTTCCATTGTCCCAATCTCACTTTTATCAATGCACCAACCTTTCCAAACTGGCTTTTGCCTTTGCTAAAGCCATACTCATCAACACAATTAAACTCTTAGTATATGATTACAATTGTTAGAACAAGGCAATCCTTAGGATCTTACCTACTTTCACTGTCAGCCCCTTTGATTCTGGTTATTGTGACTCCCTCCTGCTACATGCCGTTGTTACTGTCTGTGCTCACAAATGTTTCCATCTACCTTCCCAGCTTCCTCATTGCTGTACATCTATGTACACAACATATTCTGAATCTGTGCCTACAACTGGAACAAAGCTTACATTTGTTGTATATTTCCTAATCGGACATAACAAAAATAAACGCATATGACATAGCTCAAGAGCAGGCTTCATACAGTACGATTTCACACTATGCTGAAAACTGGCTGATTTGACTATTTAATTCATTTTTAACAAGTCTGAGTCCAGGACATTTTTATGGTAAAATGTTCAATCTGCAGAACACCACAGCTGCTTTGACCATGTATATATTTTCCTAGTGAAGGCACGGCATGTTCATATCTAAAAATTACACATTGGGCCAACACATGGCCTAAATGAGAAATCAAATAAGATGAAGGTTGCACCAAGCTGTGATATTTTTTGACTTGCTGCTGGTTTAATGCAATCTATGATCTATAGGATGCGGAGAAACTAAATTAAATGATTTAAAAAGGCATCTTATCCAGCCCAATCCAGCAACCAATCATTAACTTGTACCTTGTACTGATAATTGTGGTGTCCACGTTTTGTTCATGGGACTTCTGCAGGTCAACAGAGCAATGGTACAATGCTGCAGCAACACTTTTGAAAAAGCTGCAAGTGAACAAAATGTTGCTTGTATCCGGTTGTGTTGTCAAATTGACAAAGGAACAAATAACAATCCAATCCATCACTCTTTACATTTTTACACTAAAGAGCATCAAAGACATATAAATAAATACAAAAACAGACTCTCCAACAACCCACTTGCTCTCAGTCTGCACAGTTTACTTTGATGGACTTTTCACACAGTTGAAGGCAGGATAGCACACACATTCATTCACACTCAAATATTCAAAACTGCTGCAAATGTGCCTTTACCATGTGTTTACCTTAGTGCCATTGACGTTCCGTTGACCGATGCAGCAGAGCACGCTCTCTGGACCTGTCCATAGGAGCAGCTCCCCTGTCGTGAGTACCGCTCATCCCCACAGCAGAGGATCACCAGAAAGGCTCTCCGAAACGCCCGGTTCAGAAAGGCGTACAGGAAGGGGTTCAACCCTGAGTTAATGTACCCGAGCCACAGCCAGGCTGTCCATAGCTGCCAGGGCACTGAGTAATGGATGAAGGGGTCCACTACGTTGGTGATGAAGAACGGTGCCCAACACAGACAGAAACAACCCATTATAACGGCCAGCGTCTTTGCGGCCTTGGTCTCAATGCGCATGCGGCTATTTGCTATGGGGGCCTGCTCTGAAGGGGAGAGGGCCCTTGTTGTCCTGAGGCGGTAGTGATCTGTAGGGTCTGAGGAAGTGGAGGACCTCACTGTGATCATCGGAGTCGGTCCACTCACAGGGGCAGAGCCGGCTCGCTGTAGTGTCTCAATCTGCCGTACATGAGTCATGGCGGTGACGTAGATCTGCTGGTAGGCCAGGACCATAAGGGCCAACGGGACATAAAAGGCCACTGCAGAGCAGATCAGGGCATACGGCATGTTCACCAGAAACACACAACTTGTGTCATTGGAGGCTCCAGCCAAGCCTTTTCTCTCCTCAATCTGGGAAAGTTGAGAAGATACAGACAAAAAATCATCACAATGTTACAACAAGATATTCTGACCATTTCAATGCCACTTGAGTGCCAAATAATGTCATTATTATGACATTATGACCTGCAGTCAAGCATTAATAATGCTAGTCTTGCCTGTGAGTGTAGAGATGGAGCTAAGAGGCAGTTAGCCTAGCATAGCATAAAGACCAATTTGAGACTATATTTACCGGTTGATTTGTAAGGTGTTGCTAAATTAGGCTAAAGAAAAATATAATGTTCTATTCTGAACTAATACTGATTGTATGTATACGTAATATCTTTGTCCTAATGGACATTTTGAGCGAGTCACAATAAAGTTCAGGTACCTAAAGCTGAAAAGGTCATTTTAGCTGGCATTGGCACTGATGAGCTACCTTAGTCTGCATGTACATGAAACACTCTAGGTATACACAACATGTAAAATCCTAATTTAGGAACATTTAATACACATAAAGAGCCAAGAACATACAGTTTCACATCACCATATCACCAGAAATTGATGTTTTCCTCAGTGGAAATGGAGCATCTCAGTTCACACACACATACTGTGTCTACCATATCGTTTAACTTGTCACAAGTATTTATTGTGGCTTTGTATCAGATGGCGTAAAAAAGTAGTTTCAATTTCAAACAAATCCTTTTTGTGGCAGAACAAGGGTGCAATGTATTTTTTGTTTCGCGAAATATGAGAACAAAGAAGAAATAAACGGACAAAACACATTCAAAACAAACAACTAAAATCGGTCCTAAATATCTAGACATAAGTTATATTTAGTGTTGCGCAATTGTGTCTGCATCTTTAAGACATCCATCCAGCTTTTGTAAAACAAATGATGGTTTTTTTCGATGCTGCCTGACTGAAAAACTGAGAAAAGGGCAGTGTATTTCATTAACTCTGGCTAAATAAATTCATCTATCCCCATGTGCCTCTGGGAGTCCTGCAGCTCATTTCAAGGCAGCTCTGAAATAACCTCACGCCAAAACATATCCGAACCAGCAGGAAATGCTTGTTGAAGTGCTGTCTTTGCTCGCAGCAAGAGAGCCTCCACAGGGACTGGAATTGTTTTGTGATCGCTGCATTACCGTGTCATTGGACAATGTTATTAGAAAACAGAGAATATTAAATTGGAAAGGTTTGTGCTGCATTTGCCCTCACAGAAAAAAAAGTATCTCTTCATGTATTTGAAAGAGTTATATGAGCTCTTGATACTATTAAAAAAAATATTTGGAACATAAAGTATATTTTGCAAGATTTTAATAACAAGAACCCATTCTGATCTTAGCTAAGGACTTACAATGTCCTCGATGCCGATAGCGTTCCAGCTTTGCATTATGGGTAGAAAGGAGATGAATATGGGGATGAACCAACAGCCGCTGAGCATCACTGCCACTCTGACCGGGGTCATCTTGTGTCTGTAGACCAGAGGCTGGCAGCAGATAGCGTAGTACCTGGAATAACACACACACACACACACACACACACACACACACACACACACACACACACACACACACACACACACACACACACACACACACACACACACACACACACACACACACACACACACACACACACACACACACACACACACACACACACCATCTAGTGCATTTCTAACCAAAAGACAAACATGACAGTAATGTTGCATATTTTGACAATTATGAAACTAACTAACTGGACTTTTTCATGACAAAACATTATACCCTTGGAAAACAATTTTGATTTCCCTATTTGCCCCTCAGGGCTTCTGTAAAAACCAAACCGCAATTTTATGTTTTTGGTTTGACTTATTACTGGACTTTTTTGGGGGTCCCTGTCTTCGAGACAAGCACCCACACAAACCTGTCAAGCGCAATGCAGCAGAGGTGCAGGATGGACGCTGTAGTCAACAGGACATCCAGAGATGTTCGCACCAGGCAGAAGATCTCTCCGTATCGCCACTCGCCGGTAATCAGCTCAATGGCAGCGAATGGCATCACCAACAATGCAACCAGCAAGTCAGCAAACGCAAGAGACACAATGAAGTAGTTTGTCTTCTTCTTTCTGAGAGGATAGCAGGGGGACACAACAAATTAGCAACAAAACATTATCCATTAATGTATTCAGTAATGGTTCATGGGTAAGGTCATCTTTAACGATTTATAAATGAAGACTGACTGACTGATGTGTAATATTTTGTAGGTTTTTAGGCAACATTTAAGTTGAATGCCTTAGCTTGAATTTGTTGCTTAAACTGCATTTTTTTAAAGTTGACTAAGACAAGTCTTGTTTTTTTCTGAGGTACAACACTCACTGTCTAGAGATTAGGGTTAGACAACATACATTTTTCAGGATAGCATTTTAGTAATGTGAGTGCTTTGACATTTGGTTTGCATGCTGAGTTTTTTAAGCACTGCTGGATGTGTTTTTAGTGCAAATAGCGGGAACAAAATGCCTTGTTTTAGTTCACATCTACTTAATCGTCAGCTACAACTTTGACGATCAATTTCTTTCTTTACAGCTATTGAAAGACATTGAATTTGCACAAGGTAGGTATTCCATGGCAGCGAAAATATTCGGCATCGTCAGTTTACATAATTGCATGGAGAACTTTGAATAAGGGTTTGTTTTTTGCAGATAGACCCTTTTTTTTAGCCAGTTTTGAAGACTGTTGCTGCTTCCAAAATACATTTAATAAACAGCTCACCGTAGATGTCTGTCCTTGCACAGTGCCACCATGACTAGCAGATTGCCACACACTGTCATTATAATAATAATGGAGAGAAATATGGTGAGAATAATCGACTCCAGCGAAATCAGGAATTCCTGCTGCTGTTCCTGCTGTTGTTGTCCTGTGTTTATGAGGTCATCCAACAAACTGAAGAAATACAAAAACAAACAAATAAAGCTATTATTTTGAAAGAGAGAGGGAACAAAATGCCGGGGATGTACTTTAATCATTTTACCCATATTAATTAGGTATATTTATGAAATTTGAAAAAAAAAATATATTTAAAACAATATTTATTAATAAAATAAATGTTGTAATGTAACATGTTTTATTTTAATGTATGACTTACTGTAGAGGTGATTCTGTGGCCATCACTGGTCATCTGCATTTAGGTCAGCAGGGGATAGTCCTCTTCACCCCATGCTAAGGCCCTGTTGAGACACAAACACACACAACACACACACACACACACACACACACAAACACACACACGCAATGTAATATTTCTGGCTTTCACAGTAGGTCTGCATTTTTCTGAAAATAGTAGCCGGCCTGCGTGTGCAGACAGGCTGCTTGTGGATATCTTTTTGTTTGTCCATAAAAAATGTGATATTTGTACCCCAAATAAGAATCGGGATCAAAGTTTGAAAGCTTGTAATATTTTCAAAGCAAACAGTCTGCAACAGGCCAAAGCTGTCTCTGCCAGATTCCATCAGCTAGTTGGTCCTCGCAATGCAACAAAAAATACCAAGCTTTAGTGAGAACCACAGGGGAAATTTCCTCTCTTACGCCAATGTCCAGGGAGGTCAAAGGGCAGATATCAGCTCTAGGGCTTGTTAGGATTCATCAGCAAATCCTAGTTGGAGGGCAGTGTGCCTGACCTACCCTTATTTAACCTGGAACTTAAAGTAAACATATAAGCCCCGGCCACACGAGGATGGTAACGGTCGTATCTGCAACAGTTCACTATCAGATAGACGGTTCGGCCACACGAGGCCGACATGGAAACGTTCGTGTGAACGGACACGTTTCTGGTGCCTGTTGCGTGTGGACGGAATACGTTTTTGATAACGATTGCAGTCCGTTTGCGTTATCGTCCTCGTGTGGCCGGGGCTATAGACTTGACCAACAATTGCCTGAGGTAATGAGAGGACAACTGAGGGTGGCTTAGGCATTGACTCTGGATCATTTCCCAGAAGGACCCAAATTGACTGTCCTTTTACTGTCAAATCAATAACTTTTGATTCAGATCAGCTCTTTATGTTAGGCTTTGTTCACTACAGCTCTCTATTTAAGGCCAAGTGCACCAGTGGACCCTTTTGAAATCAACCCTAAAGGAACTAAGCAGCAGCGATTAGTCGATAAATGGATTGGTTGATCAGAAACACAATGGGCAACTATACAGTATTCATCATAATTGATTTACTGTTTCAATTATTCTTCAAGCTGAATAATTCCTGTATTCTCCGATTCCACCCTCTTATCTTTGTCATCTTTAACTGTATAATAAGGTTATTGATTATTGAAAAAAAAGGTGGCCGATTAATCGATAATGAACACAATCAGTCTTAATTAATGGCTTTACCCACACATATCTGCCAGAACCACTGACTTTTCTATTGATGATACAATAGACAGTACAGTACACAGACATGTTTTTTGTAAGACACAAGTATTCAGTTTATCTTTGAGTTTACAATACCTGAGAGGATTTTGTTAAATGTACCAGTGTGACAGAAAATGACAAGTGTAGCTCTGAATCATCTTAACAGCTCTTGAGGATCAGTAGAAAACCTTTCATCGGTTCAGCTCTAGATGCCTTATCAGCTTTAAGGGTCTATTACAACATCTGCTGCTTTTTTATGATAGCCGTCAAGTCTTATCGCACTCGAGGGTCAATATCATCTGACGGATTGGGACAGCCGGCAGTCCTGTCAACAACTCCTACTTCCTGTAGGAAGATCACCGATTACAGTTCGTCACTTCAATTTATCGTCAAGTCCAGTCATTCTCTATTCTCTCGCCTGGTGTAGGTTGATTGCTTGCCTTTTGATGTAAGTTAAACTAAACTACAGTAAGGACTTTATTTTATCTTTACACTTTTTGAAATGATGTGTTCCTTTGTAAGCATTAATCAATTGTTTTTTCGTATCTATTGACTGGCCATGGTTCGAGGGCACTCAGGGTGCCTCGACCTCCCCCAAGGCCAAATGCTCTATCGCACAATCTTAAAGAAAGCAGAACAAATAATGAGTATTGGCCTTCGGATCTGCTCCAAAATTAAACAAGGTATTGAGCCCATTCGAAACCTTTCCACCAAGTTCCATGAAAATTGCGGCAGTCGTTTATCCGTAAACAGACAGATAGACAACAAAAGCAAACACATTTTTTCAGTATGGGTTTGTAAAACTGATCTTAACTTGATCCCAGGCTCCCAGTGATGAAAGGAAGATAACTGCAACAGCTACTCTAGTTCTGAACTGTCTTGTCTTTGTGTTTCAGACACAAACAAATAATTTATTGGATTGTGAAATTGAAACCAAAATAGAGGTGACAAGAAAAGTTCACAGTGTTTTCTGCCAGCTGTTTTCTCCCTCAAGGAAAGAAGAGTGATAACACAACCCAGGTTGATTACAACAAAGCCTCACTCTACTTGGTGAATACACACATTTGTACTTACATGGGCCAGTCAGCTGCCATGATCTTCTTTAGAACAAGTGGACATGGACAAATTATTACTAAAAAAAGATACCACCGCGGCCCACCCCATCTTTAGTGGGCAAGTACCCTCACATATTTTTAAAAAAATTCTAATTCCCAACCAGGGCCTAATGGGCCCCTGCACATATTGGGCACCAATGTATCCACATCCATGAAAAAGACACAAGAAACACTGATTATACACAACACATGAATGAAATGTCAAGTTGCTGAAGGATTGATTTGACTCAACAATGGTGCACAGATTGGATGGGATTCAGCTTTGCATTTTCATCAAAACACCTTGTTTTTAAATAGAAAACTGCCTGATTACTCTGTGAATCTCTAATGGTCAGTAGAAGGAACTATGATAAGCATTATCCTCTCACACACATAAATGAGTACTGGACGACCACACTAGCACTACCCACCCTCGTTGCTCACACATTGGAATCCAAGGAATGAAAGAATTTGCTCAATATGAATTTCAACTATAGGAGAAAAAAAAGGCAGAAAGAAAGAGTGAGTAAGAAGGGTGAGGAGCCGCGTTTCTCCTGTGTAATGTGTGTCCAGGGAGGCGTGTTTTCACAGCTCACCGAGTCTATTTCACATCGAACTGACACAGTTGAACAGAATGAACTCTGGAGAGCAGGGAGCAGGAAAAGACTATGTTGCTTCTGATCTTTCTTTCATTAGATGAAAAACAATCTATTCAATAGTTGATAAGAAAGTTGACCGTAAAAGCTAAAATCTGAATGGTGGCATTAAAGGAAGAGTCAGAAAATCACTAAAGCCATTTGGATTGATTATCTGGGCTCCCAACATTTGGGAGGATCAAAGGGACACAAATTCACACAAATTAACAATCCTTATAGGTAGGGTTGCTACTGGGACATTTGCCTTCGCCATTTGGCCAGCAATATAATCAATTTCAAGTAAAAAAGGCTAGCTAGAAGGGAACATAGAGATCGCAAAGGCTGTTATCTTAACTGAAAAATTATTTGTATGTGTTATTTGGATCTGCTCCAGAATGTAATGGGTTCTTCCTTGGCCCATGATGCAACCTTCAACCACGTTTCATTCAAATCAGGCATGTTGTTTTCCCATAATACTTCTGACAGTTAACTAACCAAAGTAAAAACATACCTACAAACCTTCTTGGCGGATTGAATAATATCAAAAAGATCAGTTCAAGGCATTAACACATCTATAATACTGTCTTTATGTACATTTATTAACGTACTGTTGAAAAGGCCATACTGGGTGGATAGATGGTTGGATGTGGACTAACTGAAACAACTAAACAAAAACAAATGATGTAGGAGGACTGCCTGACTCATCTGATGTGAGCTGTAAGAGGCTCACATTAGCCATCTGGGAAACTTCCTGATCTTCTGGGCTCACAAACTGGATCTATTTGACGGAGGGCAAAGTTTATGATCAAAGGCATCCCTTTATAGGTCTAGCTTTTTTTCCTGGTGCTAACTAACACATCATAATCCGATTAGCCTTACCTCCGACAGCTACCACATGACCCAATTCCAGAGATACAGGTCAGGTCTATTTTTTCCTATTTAAACTCTCAAGAGATAGACCATGAGGTCAGTTAAACTATTTATTTTTACCCACATTTGTTTCTTTGCTACAACTTGGATAATTAAACATGGAACCATTTTGAACTACTTTACATAAATGAAGGTAAACTCAAACTTTTTACTGGTTTTTCTTATCAATCACTCCTCTGCAAATCATATCACAGATCATTTTCTGTCATTGCATTAAGGACACAGTGTGAAATCTGAATTATAAAAAACAATTGTTATCGTTTAATATTCATCACACAACCACCAGAGACATTTCACACTACATAACAAGGATTGTACAGAAATCTGCACAAGATGTATCGGCAGCTTGACAACATGCCAAACAATGTGGGCTGATCTGCAAAAATCTGCAAATCATAATTTGATTAAACAGGAGTGTGCTGCGACCAATGTATCACAGTTAACCCAACAACTTCAGCAAATGAAACACTTTTTAACTCTCCAGCCACTTGTTTTCTTGTCAGGTGGGAAGTAAATACTTCTCACTTAATCTCACACTTCAGATTGTGAGAGGGTTGAACCGTGTGTGTGTGTGTGTGTGTGTGTGTGTCTGTGTGTGTGTGAGTGAGTGAGTGAGTGAGTGTGACTGTGTGCTCACATTATTTTTGTTTGTATGTGGAGAAGGAGTCTCTGGTCCTGTTGCCAGGGAGACTGAGAGATTTCATGCTCTGCAGACTGTCCTCCTTTATTTTGAAACAAACTTCTGACGCTCTCAACTGAGGCTGTAGTGTAAAGTGTGTGGAGTGCCTGTTAAGTAGCTGCTGATGAGTGTTGAATTTAAAAAAAATGTAATTATGCAATGTGAAATATCTCTTGAAATCCCATAAAAAGACCAAAGAAATTAATTGAATCTTTATGCACTGTAGGCCAAAGCCTATTGTATCGTATTGCCCTTTTCCATAAACCTCTGTTGTCAAAAAGGATATTTAAAACACGTCAATGTGCCTCATTACACGCTACAGCAAAGGAAAAAAACCCAAACAAGCATGATTCAAATAAAGGCATTAGGTTTTTACTTTAGAACAAGTGCTGTTTTTCCTTCGAGGCCAATCAAATCCTAAGAGGTTTCTCAATACTCTAATTTGCCCTCCTCGACTCCTCGACTCCTCGGTCCTCCGGTTGTGACC